AAATATGTGGATGCCATATTCAAGGTATTAAACCAATGTGCCCCTTCCAATGTCCAGACATTCTTATGTTTGCAGTAGTGAAAAGGCATCAGTGCATGTTTTGGAATTCACCTGTCTAAAATCAATGCATAACCTGGGCGTGCCTTCCTTCGTTTTGAGAATAACAACTGGAGATGACCAAGTACTTTCTGAATATTGGACATACATCACCTTTATCTATGTTGTATTGAGCGACTGTTATTTGACCCACTCAGCTATCTGATCCTATAAACACATTTGCATACTCTGTCAACAAGTTATTGAGTTCTTGCCACTGGGTTGAGTCTAAATTGTCAAAACAGTACTCATTTTTAACTAATTATGTCACGTGTGTTTTGGTAAACTAGTATTTACCTTTGGATGAAAAATGGCAAATACAACCGTAGTGTTACTGCTACCATTTTTACTTCCAATTTACTTACCATGTCAATAACTATTCCAGGTAGCAGCTGGACAACTGATCAACAATGGGATTTTATACTCTCTCATAAAGATAAATACTTGAGCTAATGCTACTTTCTTTCTGGATAGGAAACAGCCTATTTCATGCATGAATTCAATAATTAATTACGTGGCACCAGTGCATTAGACATTGTTCACAGTAAATCATGAAACGCTGCTTGTGTATATGGGGTAATGTGATTTCCTCATTTACATATACTTGTGTTTTCTACTGTTTCTTGGGTCACTTTTCCTGGCACTTGATGCTTTTATCACAAAACATCAGTTCACCAATTATGCTGACTGATAAGCTCTGCAGTACATCCATTTTAGGAATGCCAACGTCTGAACCAAGATCAGCAACAACTATTTTCATTATGTAAGTGAAACCCCTAGACATAAGCAAAGCATGGTCTCTAAATTCACAGCTAGTGTCTCTACATTTGCCAGTTTCATGTTGATATGGTTTTACTTGAATTTCCTGATATATCGCAAGATCTACTAATGTTCTGACTGCCTCTGTATCTATCATGAACTCTAACTTTCGCCAATACAAATAAACACACACGAAAATTCACTTTGTCCAGAAAGAGCTGGACTGATCACCACACTTCTTTGAGCAAATTTTTCATCACACTCTTCTAAGTCGGTAGTCAGAACTGACTTGATCTTCTATAGTTTTCCAACACTACTACACTTGCATTATACACTGCTTGCTAGTTGCCCTGCTAAGCCTACTGTTTCATTGGTCGAAACTGATTGCAGGTCTTCCTTGTTGTTTGGCAAGGTATGGGCAATTCATATGAAAGTGACCCAACTCCCCACAAAGAAAGCATGTGCTTTGCCTTTTCTGTTTAGAACAACATCCACATGGGTGTACCAGCAGATATTGCTGCATGTCTATCGTTGGAGGATTAGGTATCTCTTCCTCTTCACTGTAACCGAGTGTGGCTGCATTGCAGCTCCAGTATGCAAGAGTGTATAATTGATTCATGGCGTATTTAGATCCTGATACAAAATGTAAGTCTGAGGTTTAAATCACTGCAGCTGCTGGAGGATTCTTCCATTCGTGTTGCAACAGCATCTGCTTCTATTAATGAGGGTCTGTCACATCTAGGTGATGTTGCGTCATCTCATTTGGTAGCTCTTCAATGAATTTATCATTGAGGGTATTCTCATGATCTACTAAAGCCACTGCAGGATAAGGTTTACCTTGTAAATGGCTTAGGTCATCCACATAAGCAGTTAAGCTTTCCAGGGGTTCTTTCCTTCAAGCCTTGAACTCGTCTATGGATCACACTTTACACCAGGTAAAAACTTTGGCACAACTCACTGATGACTTTTTCACAGTCTTTAATATGCTTCTTTTTCAGGTACTTGGTTGAGTCCAGGGATAGTCCATTCAGATTCAACACAAAGTGTTGAGACTTTTGCTTACAAGACCACCATTCCAAGCAGATATCTGCCTGAAACATTTCAAAAACCAGATTCTCTTACAACAAAGGAGTGATTTTGGCGTCACCAGTAGTGAACCACATGTGCGACCATACACTCTCTCTATGCCGAAGTCTTGATCTTATCTGATTGCAAAGTTCTTGAAACCATCAGTTTAAGTGTCCCTATATTCCTAAAGGCATAGGGCTCGAGAATTTGGAGGACAAATCAATGAGCAACTCACTTCTTGTCTCAGTTGGACCACGAACTCTTTTATGGATTGCATTTACATTATCAATATAGATCCCAACTTAGGGAGGCTCACCACTACCTCACAATCCACTTAGCCCATGTCATCTCACCTGCTAGTGAGATGGTTCTGGTTGATAGAGGATGTCCACCACTGGTGCCTTCAGCCCTTTCTCATGGTGCTATTCTCTTGCTGGTGTTGGTTTGGAAGTCCTGTACAGACCCCCAATAGTCGTGAACTTACTAGATGTCACAAGTCTATGGCGATCCTTAGACTATGCCACGCCCTCGAACCAAGATCGACTCTTAATGGAAGAACCTTATTGACTAGCATTCGAGTGTAACAGATGTTGGTTGTTATGCATGAGTCAACGAAGTGTAACGAACTGTCAGTCATGGAGCTTTGCAACACTGACAAAAGTTTCATATTCAGGAGAGGATTTCTGGACATAACTACTCTCTCAAATGGCCAGTTCCCCTAAACGACTGACTCTCTTTTTGGATTGTTTGTTCTTCTTGCTGTTGAAAATAAGGAAGTGTTTATAAGAGTCTCGATCAAAGAAGTTCAAGTTAAGTAAGTATACACTTCAATAATAAACCAGTACCTTTGGTTACAGTACAAAATTTCTATGTTTCTATCCATTCTGTGGTATTTTCAGGTGAAACTCATTTCACTGCAGAACTTCATTTAAGAAGAGGTTCAACAAGATACGATTATCATAGAACAATGATGAATTAATACCAGCTGAGTTTAAATCTAGGAATGACAAATAGACTAGATACATAAAAACAGTGCATCTTGGGTGCTGCTTACTGCAGTCGTCACGTTCACTGCATTTCAGGATTCCTTCACTTGGGACGAAATCTTGGAGAATTACACTTGTTGAGAACTGTCTTGAAACATATTTATTAGCTTGAAATAAATCATGTTTTTTTTGTCCTAATGGCGTCACCACGTGACTGATCACCATCTCTCGACATTCGTCTATAGATTTCACCCAATGGGCCAGAATAATGGCTTCTGGCTTTTTCCTAGCCCAATTGAGTGATGTCTAATACGATATCGACAAGCGAGCTGATTTGAAGAAAACTTTAGTGGTTACTTTCACGTGTTCTGAACTAAATAATAACTTTGGAACCAATATTAATACTACACAAACTATTGTATATTTCTATACTACACAGTCCACACAGGTAACTATTGAGTAGATTTGCACGAATATTCAAAGTACACACTTTCCTTTTGCGTGATGGCTTGGTGGTTAGGTGTTCCATTAGCAATCTATAGATCGTGGGATCGAAACTCATCATCGAACACGCCTGCTTTTTTTCAGCCATAGGGTCGTTATAATGTAACAGTCAATCCCACTATTCGTTGGTAAAACGTAACCCAAAAATTGGAGGTGGATGATGTTGACTAGTTGCCTTCCCTATAGTCTATGACTTGAATATTATGGATGGCTAACGCAGATAGATAGCCCTTGAGTAACTTTAAGTAAAATTGAAGAAATAAACACTTTTAGGTATATGCCCAAGATTAAAGAATAAAATCTATGCATCTGTCAGAAGTGATAGTGACAGAGCAATGAAATAATTATAAAATATATTAAAATGACTTTTATTTACTGGATTACACTACTTTTATCTTTCAGCATTGGGGGAAACTGTAGTGGACCCCTATGTAGGGATGGCACAGAAAAAAAAAAGGCAGCCAATACATAGCCTATGGGAACGAAAACAATAGAACACTCACAAATCTACACAAATAAGCTATGGCTCAAAAGCGCTCGACCATGCATACACAAAACTACTCGTAACGTTTAGCCAACCTTTGTCTGTAGTGAGAAAACGTAGGTTTGTTTGGTTTTGAATTTCGTACAAAGTTATACCAGGGCTATCTGTGCTAGCCTTCCTTAATTTAGCAGTGAAAGACTAGAGGGAAGGCAGCTAGTCATCACCATCGATCGCCAACTCTTGGGCTACTCTTTTACCAACGAATAATAGAATTGACCGTCACATTGTAACGCCCCCATGGCTGAAAAAGCGAACAGTTTTTGTGATACGGGGATTAGAACCCGCAGATTAGGAGTTGAGAGGAATTAATTTATATATAATTTATAGATTAGTTTATTTCTTCCTTAACGTTTTTGCGAGCATGAACAGTGTGGAACTTGTAGGCCTGTGTTTACTAATGAAGCTAACTACACTACACTTACATAAAGATAGTACTTGTACCACTTCACGGCTGAAACGAAAACATGCTGATTGATTTGCTCTATCGCCTAGAAACGACTCTCTCTTTTCTCAAATATATATTAAACTTTCTTCTTAACTGCCCCCCCCCCCCGTGGCACAGCAGTATGTCTGCGGACTTACA